GCCCACTGCGGTCCAACTGACACATGACTGCCCACGCGATAGTACCAGGTTCAGTTGGTCCCGCCGCAACGTACAGCACAAAGTCGGTATCAGGCACACCGGTGGTGTGGTGGGACTGGGGAACCGTAAACTGAGAACAGATGGACCACTTGAAGTTTCTAACACGGATGTTGCCACTGATCGGCTGCACCAGCAGGCGGTCCTTGTGCATCTGCACTGCGTTGGGGATTATCTCATCACGCAAGAGTTGCTTCTTTTCATCAGTGAGAATATTCTTAGTATTGCAATAAATTATGGAGCCAGAGAAATCAGGCCTCATCTCCCCAGGCTGAGTACAGTAGCGGGAGCTGTCGTCAAGGTCCTCAGTGAACACCGAGATGCGAATCGGCTCCCATGGGCCAGTGGCGCTGAAGCTGTCATGCTGCTCCGCACCCTGCCCCTGCGGCGCCCCGCGGTCCCCCACATCGGGGACGGCACTGGTGCCGGTCGCCAGCTGCAGGCGCTGCAGCTCGTCGAAGATACAACGGTGCCCCGCAACGATCAGCGGGGTCCCGACAAGCAGCGCGAGCAGGACAGCGGCAGCGGTCAGCGCGGACATCCGCAGGCCGGTGGGTGGGTTGGGCATTCGGTGGCGTGTGGCGGCGGTGGGTGGGTGTAGTCTTTGTATTTTTGTGGATGGGTACGAGTGTGCTTGGATGGTAATGTTGTTGTGCGAACGTATTACTATTGCGCCACGCGACGCAACGCAGATGAATAAGGGAAGAAGAAGAAAGAGGGGTCGCTCAGATGTCACCAAGTGCCCAAGCAATTTTGGTACAGTATCCTGCTGCACCGCACCCTTTACACTCACGATGGAAGTTCCAATAATAAAGTAACACAACAAGAGTGAATAGGAATCAGCAGTGTTGGCATCGTTTCTGTAAAGATATTATATTTAATTAGCATAAACTCAAGTGCTGGTTAAGTAAAGCAATATATTTTATTGATTTGACACTATAAATAAATTGACTGACTTAATACAAAAATGAGGGCAGCGTATCAGAGTGTTTACCTCGGCACCGTTACACTCATTATTATTTCCTTAATCAGCGAATGTCAAAACTACACTCGTCCCTTAGTTACACAGCTTTCCTTCAGCATTTTTAAAAGATAAGTGTATACGCATTTAAACCGACTCAATCGGTGGTTTCCTCACTCCTGATGAGGGGCAATTATATTTACACGCATTGGGAAAAATATCTCACGTGCGTTTGAAGAAAAAGAAAGCAATTAGTATTTATAAGGGAAAAAAGATTAATCTGTTTAATAAAATGGAAAGAAGGAAAATAATTCCAATGAAAAAACGATTAAGGGTTATCTTTAGCGCACCTGCCTCAATTTTACCGTTCTACATCCCTGTCTGGTGCATGTTTCCTGCGGCTCACCCTCTTCACACACATTGCCCGCTGTAATTACTGAGCAAAACAATCATAGCAACCAGGGCCGCAACAAGCGTGTGAGCCAGCTAGTACGCGCCTTTACTCGTACAGGATGTGGTGCTGTTGTTTTCGTCGCTGTTATGTCGTGCTCATCGTCGGGGTAAAGGGATTTAGGGCACACCTCCTCGTATAGCGCACACACGATTTCACCAGACTTGAACACTGTACTGTACTCCGAGAGCACAAGGGTACTTCCGGGTGGGCAGTCCACGAATTTACTGGTACCCTTCACGCGCACCCGGTAGCTCGAGGTGTCCTTGTCACATTGCACATCCGCACAAATAGAAACCATATTTCTGCCATCGCTTATCTGGAGGGGAGTGCTCGAGACGGCTGAAAAGCATCGCGAAGACTCTGAAAACACAGAACCAGGAAGTAGTCTTTGCTTCCCATTTAAGCACAACGAATGTGCATATGCTTTTATATATGGACAGTAATCCATTGAGTTTTCAGTGCCACCCATTGTGGTATCGAGAAAATACTGGAAATATGGTGGCAAACTATCATAATACTCCATTGAACAGTCTCCCATACCCATCCGGTCTGATGTGCACTTAAGCTCACTTATTAAATCAGTTTTACTGTCACAGAACATCTCCGGCACCTGCGACACACCGTCAATAAGGCACTTTTTATCAAACAGCACGCACCCGGCATTCTTACCCCATGCCATGCTTTCAGCATTGCGGTAGTTGCCTTTGTAGTAGCCCGTGTCCTCCATCGCTGCAATGGTGATGGCGGTGTAGAAACCTGCAGTTAAAGCAGGAGCCATTAAGTCATCCTTTGCATTGCGTGTCTTCCAGTGTGAACCTATAGTCACTGCACCACCCGTGTCTTCCAACTCCACGTACTGCATAGTACTGCACCCGTAATGAGCCCTCGCGACTTCCACCACTTTTGGCGAAGATAGAACATAACTTGGTGGCTTATTGCGAACAGACACAGCATTGATCATATTTCTCCTTTGAAATATATCAAACAAGAATCCCAACGCATGCAGTATCTCGTGTGCCAAAAGACGTGTAAAATAAAGAATATTCATAGTGTCTACGGACCCAATATTAGCAGCACCTACAAAGGGGCGGCCGCTGGGGTCAGACTGGCACATGGTTGCCCACGCGATAGTACCAGGTTCAGTTGGTCCCGCCGCAACGTACAGCACGAAGTCGGCATCCGGCACACCGGTGGTGTGATGGGACTGGGGAATCGTAAACTGAGAGCAGATTTTTCCAGTGAAATGTTCAACACGGATGTTGTCTCTAAGCGGTTGCACCAGCAGGCGGTCCTTATGCATCTGCACCGCGTCGGGTATCATTTCATCATGCAGTATCCGCTTCTTTTTATCAGTGAGAATATTATCGGATTTGCATTTAATCATGGAGCCAGAGAAATCAGGCCTCATCTCCCCAGGCTGAGTACAGTAGCGGGAGCTGTCGTCAAGGTCCTTGGTGAACACCGAGATGCGGATCGGCTCCCATGGGTCAGTGGCGGTGAAGCTGTCATGCTGCTCCGCACCCTGCCGCGGCGGCGCCCCGCGGTCCCCCACATCGGGGACGGCACTGGTGCCGGTCGCCAGCTGCAGGCGCTGCAGCTCGTCGAAGATACAACGGTGCCCCGCAACGATCAGCGGGGTCCCGACAAGCAGCGCGAGCAGGACAGCGGCCGTGGTCAGCGCAGACACCCGCAGGCCGGTGGGTGGGTTGGGCATTCGGTGGCGTGTGGCGGCGGTGGGTGGGTGTAGTCTTTGTATTTTTGTGGATGGGTACGAGTGTGCTTGGATGGTAATGTTGTTGTGCGAACGTATTACTATTGCGCCACGCGACGCAACGCAGACGAATAAGGGAAGAAGAAGAAAGGGGGGTCGCTCAGATGTCACCAGGTGTCCAAGCAATTCAAGTACGGTATCCTGCTGCACTGCACCCTTAACACTAGTAATAGAGGTTGTAATAACAATGTGTCCCAGTAAAAGTAAATAAGGATAACCTTTTTGGTGTAGTTACAATTTGTGTATAAAAATATAAAAATTAATCAACGCATAATCAGGTATAATTTTTGGAAAGTAATATAGTATCATTGATTTCACTAGTAGAAAGAAAGTGACCTAGTTACTCAACAAATAAGGACGGGGCATCGGAGTGCTTACCTCGGCACTGTTCCACTCCCTATGCTTCCCTTGATCCGCGGCTGTGCACCCCATCCTCGTCCCTTGGTCACACGGTTTTAGTTCAACATTGTATAATGATAATAGCATACACGATTTAATCCAACTCAGTCAGTGGTTTCCCCACTCCCGA